ATGAAACCTGTGAATACAGCAGCCCCTACCTGGAACCTGCATGCTCAGGGGAGGGGGGGTGGCTCTTACCCCAAGGATCTCCACGTACTCATAGATCTGGGCTTCTAGGAAGGCCACATCCTTATTCCGCTCTGTGTCCCTGTCAAGACAACGATGGTGCCCACAAGTGAGCGACCCCAGCTGGTGCCAAAGGGAGTTCTGCTTCTTCACCCCAGGACACAAGATCACCAAAGGAGGGGACCAATTCAAAAAGGGCCTGAGCAGGCAATGCAACCCCACCCCAACCTAGAGGAGACTCACCGCTTGCTCCCTTTTGTCTTTGGGTTTTTGGCAAAGAGAGCAGGATCAAGGGCTTCCAGGGACTTGCCCTTTGTGCTGAAAAGCCTCTGAGCACGTTCCTCCAACGTTCTGGGCAAGAAGGAGAGCAGGAATCCCTCAGGTCTAGCTCCAGGGTACGTTTTAGCATTGTAAATAAGAGCCAGGCGTGTAACTAGGGAATGGGGAACTAGAAGATGCTGGAAGTTTCTTGTCACCCAAGGACATACAAACATGTTTTGGAGTAGGTCGCAGAGACAACTGCTTGATTCTTTTGTACAAGAGCTGTTTTGGCTTTCAAATCTGCTGAGATCAAATGCTTAAGCTTCTTCTCGCCAGAGGGTGCCATCCCCACCCAGGCAAGGCTCCGCATGTTCACCAGCAAAGCCAACATGCATGTGCCACTTCTCTGCATGTTCCCCAGGCTGCCAGGCCACCACAAACGCTAAAATTCTTTCCACTTACCCTCCACATTTCAGACCTAAGGCCAGCAGGGCAGATTTCAGCCGATCTAGACCAAGGGAAGCCAACTCCTATGGGGAAGTAACAAAACCTGACTCCCACCTTGCAGGGCTGTGGATTCCCAGAGGCGCTAAAGGGGGTGGGGGTGGGTGTCACTCCTAACCTCCCACTCCCCGATCCAGAAGAGATTCGGAATGGCTACCAACCTCCCAAGAGGAGAAGGCAGAGAGGTCCAGGTGGGCCCCAGCATGTGTGAGGGCACTGCTAGTCTCTTTCTGTCAAGGGACAACAAAGGTTGTGCAGATCAGTGGCCTCCAGATGCGCTTAGCCCCAACTCTTCCAGTCATTTAGGTTGACTGACACAGAGGCACAGGCTGGGAGGAGGCGTCTCTTCCAGAAACATGAACAATTAACATGATTTACAACAGTTGTGCTTCACATTAAGCCTCACCCACCACAGAATGACACTCACCGGCCAACCAGGGAAAGTGCCAATCTCCCACTTTTTCTCAAAATCTCCCTGAATTTTGCCAAACAGCTCATTCTGGTCAAGCAGAGGCTTTACTCNAATTTTGTGCCCACTTTATCATATAGTCTTTAACTAGTTCTGTTTCAGAATCTATATCTGAACTTAACAACGGCAGCAAGACTGTTGGTGATTACATTCAAAATAAATATGGGACTAAGAAACTCCAGATAGCTTATGAATGAATGAGCAAGGAATGTCACAACTTATCTAAAGTTAGTCTTACAAAAGGGGAGTTAAAGTACAAGCGAGGGATGATGCTAAAGTTAGTTTATTTTAGTATATGGTTGCTAAATGTTTATACCCTGTATTTGCTCTGGGAGATTGTGGGGGGAGGGTATGTGGTGTTGTGGGGGGGAGGGAAGGTATATAATTGTAAAACTCTTTAAAACTTTTAATTAAAAAAAAGACCTCCCCCCTCCGCCTCAAGGAGGACACGTTGAACCATTTGGCTAAAGGCAAAGTGTTCACCAAACTGGACTTGAGAGAGGCATATTACCGCATACACATCAGGGAGGAATGGAAGACAGCCTTTAACTGCCCCCTTAGTAGTTTCTAGTTCAAAGTCATGCCATTTGGGCTACAAGGGTTCATGGAGTTCATTAATGAGGTGCTGCATGAGCACCTGTACAAAGGGGTGCTCGTTTACCTTGATGACATTCTCGTCTTTTCTGAGACCCTAGAAGAACACGTAAAGCTGGTGCTGGAAAAACTTGCAAAACTCCAAATAGTGGAACAATACATCCATTGTTATGTTGATTACCAGCAGGACAACTGGTCAGACTTACTACCTTTCACCAAGGTTGCGTATAACAACGCTGTCCACAGCAGTACTGGAATATCTCCTTTTCAAGTTACCAGTGGCATGGAATTTGTTTCCATGCCTGAACTGCTCAGAGAGCCCCCCCCCCCCTCCTCCATGTGTCTGACTCAATGGATGGACGCTCTTAAAAAGGGGTGGGAGAATACAAAAAAAGCTCTGGCAGAGGCAGCAGAAGAGTACAAGAAACAAGCGGATAAGCACCGCTCGCTCCAACCCCCCTTCCGAGTGAGTGACAAAGTTTTCTTGTCTACAAAATATATAAAGTTAAGGATGCCTAGCAAGAAATTAGGGGAAATTTTTAAGTCCCTTTCCAATAGTGAAAATAATTAACCCAGTTACGGTTTAGCTTTAAGATTTCCAGGAAATACAGGTAATCCTCAACATACAACTGTTCATTTGGGGACTGTTTGAAGTTACACTACTGAAAAAAGTAACTTATGACCGTTTTTCACATTTATGACCATTGCAGTGTCTCTGTGGTTATGTAATCAAAATTCAGATGGTTGGAAACTGGCATGTATTTTTGACAGTTGCAGTGTTCCAGGGTCATGTGATTACTTTTTGCAACCTTCTAACAAGTAAAGTCAACGGGGAAGCCAGATTCACTTAACAATCACATTACTAAATAACTATGGAGATTCTCAGTCATCAGGTCATGGTTGTCTCAAAGGTGCTTTGCAATGAAGCCTGGGATTTCTTGGTTTTCTTTGAAGATGTTTCGCTTTTTCAAAGAAAACTAGGAAAGTCCAGTTGCCTCTTGAGAAAGCACCTTTAGAGCAATCTAAAGGTGCTTTCTTTAGTTATTAGCTTTCTTTAGTTATTAACTTTCTTTAGTTATTAACAACTGCAGTGAAGCAAAATTCACTTCACCGCTGTCTTGCTTACCAATGGAAATTTTGGGCTGAATTGTGGTTGTAAGTCGAGGATTACCTGTATGGAAGAATGCTGCCATATGTGACAATACAAGTCAAATTATCAAGATAAAAGTGACTCTCTAAACAAATGGGATAAATATAAATTGATTCTAGCCCTCATGAGACAAGAAAAAAGAGGGCTGGAGTGATCTCTCCCCTCTAGAAGGGGGTTTCCTTCTGTGACTTCAGAGTTTCTTGCCTCTTTTCTCTTGATTCGCAGATCTGTATTTTTCCGCTTGGGAATAGTCTCTTGCACATTGGTTGCAAAACTAGCTATAGAGTCTGGTTTTCCTGGATGCAGAATTTAAGTGTCAGGGGCCAGTTTTTATTCTGGTGCACTACTGTAACAGTAATGCCCTTCTGGCAAGAGAGGGAGGTGCAAAGGGATTTCCAGAAAAAGAAAAAGAGTTTTCATTTGCAGAGGTTACAGCAGGAGGCAGTCTGCTTACCTAGAGTGGGCAGCTCCGGCTCCATAAACACAGCCAGAAGAGAGAGAACAGTGAGTCTGAACTGGCTGCATTAGTGGAAGTGCCATAAGTGTGCCACAGCCCCCCCTCTCCCAGCAGACCACTGGTGAATATGAGTCACACCTGTGTTGCCCTTGGTCTGTGCAGAGCCAGCTATCTGGATATGTATAATGTACCTAACTAACCCAGTGAAAACTGTAGCAGCAGCTTTTTCCCATTTGATCTCTTTGATCCTTGCTTTGGTTTTAACAGGCTTGGCATGCTGCTCTGGTTTAATGCAGGGACGTGCAGTCACTAGAGGCAGGGGAGGTCACCAGTCATGAGGAAAAGGAATTTTAAAGAATTTTTTAAAAATAATTAAAGCCAAGGTAGTTGCTACCAGATTCACAGTGATTTGGAAGAGTGCTTTGTGTTAACCATAGGAGGAGGCCAGAGAAATAGGGGCCTCCTGTCCATAAGGAATTTTTCGCCTTTTAAGAGATAACCAAGGGTTAAAATGCGAAGAATTCCTTATGCAAATGAGGCACGTATTCTCTCNCCCTGAATTTTGCCAAACAGCTCATTCTGGTCAAGCAGAGGCTTTACTCGGTCTGTATAATCCTGCAGATATTCCAACAGCATCTCCAAATACCTGTAAAAAACCAGACTGACTGTGGCAGGTGAGCCTGGCATTTTCCAACCCAGGTGGGCCTCTTACCCATCCGTCAACTGGCAGCAACTGAGAACTACCATACCATAAATGTATGTGCAAGCACAAAGTCAAACCACTTTAAACCTGTGCCTGCTACTGTAACCCAAGTGGGGAAATGAGAAATTCTGCTGTAAACCTCCTTTTGTTCACACAAAACTGTTAATTTGACCAGCTTTAATAGCCCAGAGGATGACACATTCCCCCTTTCACAGGAAAGCTTCACCTTCTGTACTCAGCATTCTTTCTATCCTTGGAATGTCAAAGAGCTGGTCAAAAGTAGACAGGTAAGTGATGTAGTCCAGTTTCTGCAATAGCATGAAGAAAGAGAAGGGAGTTTGCCACAATTCTCTGAAACCCTAGGCCAAAGCAACTGTTCTCTGGAGGTTCCTACGGCTGCCCTTGCTGTGAGGCTGGGGGAGAGAAGAGCCTTGCACATGCTCATCCTTCTCTCTTTCAGCCCAACAAGAGACAACCTTCCTTTTATTCTTCTCCCTCCCTCATTTCCAGTCCAACATTTTGTATCACTTCAGTGGCGCTTCCCTTTTACATAGCTCTATTAAGCATAAATCTGAGGACATAATCCACAAGAATGAGAGCAAAACAAGGGAGCATCAGTTGTGCCCCCGCAGTCTGAAACACAGTATGGCAGCCTCACCTCAGATGACTTGAGATTGATGTACTTCAGGTAGCAATCGTGCAGGTCCAGATAGCGGCCATATCCTTCTTCATCAGTGAACTCCACAAGGTCTACGAGAAGCCAAGAATGAAAGACAGCCCAAACCATCCCGGAGGAGGAAGCAAGGATAGCCATCTTTAGCACATAATTTATTCATTTGAAAAAAGAAAGCGAAGCATGAATCCTGCCATACGGACTTACTCTGAGCCTCTTCGCTTGGGTTTTCCCGGGCCTTTAAGAGCTCCTCAAATTCTACTGACAAATTCTACTGACATGGGCACACAGATCTACAAAAATAATACATAGTTTTTGGTTTTGCTTCTGCTTCATGATCCCCCTCCCCAAAAACTGAAAGAAAGAAAAAAGTGCTGCATGCAGGAAGTCACTCAAGCATGTTTGAACACAATGAAACCCTTCTTATTTTTCCACACGAGCACAAAGGATATACTGCGAGGTAAGTTCACTGCCATGGCCAGAGGACCTTCTTGACTGAGGAAGCGGGAAGGAAAGGCAAGTGTTTCAAGTGAGCTTTACTGCCAGCAACAGAGGTTTGGTTTTGGTTTTTGCAACAATGGTACAAAGTTCACAAATAAAATGCTGCTCTGCAGAGACTAAATTTGTCTTCTTAAGGAGATGGACGATTAAAGTCATTACTACTTGGATGCAAATGCAAAAGTCTGGTTTAAAAAGTGGTAAGACACAAAACATAGATTTTAAGAAGTTCAATTTTAATAAAGAGAAATAAAAGCAAAATCTTTGGAAATAAAATCTTAAAGAAAAAAGTGTTGTAGTTGACCAGAATTTCTTGTAGAGGAAATTAAGGACAGCAATTTTTCCAACAACATCAACAAAGGAAACGAGGAGACACAGGAAGAAGTCAATATGGCTATAGATGCAGCTCACAAATGACCTTTCTGAAAATGGTAGAAAGGACCAAGAAATAAGGCCAGGAAGACAAAGGTAGAAATGAGCCAAGATGAGTGGAAGAGGCAAAATCCAGCAAGGTAGTGAGGATGCCTTTGAATCACACATAACTCTTTATAACTGCCTGGACAAACTCCTGCTGTTTTCTTGGCTAAATTTCAAATGGTTTGCCTTCACTTTCTTTTTCCTAGACTGAGGGAAAGGGAAAGGTAAGTGGCCAAGGTCACCCAGCCTGGTTTTGTGCTCAAACTGAGAAAAGCCTGGTGCCTTACTTTATACCAAACTGGCTCTCCCAGCAAAAAGAGCTCTTTCAAATATATCAACAGTAAGAAGACAAATGAGCTTTTGAATTTTGCTCATTCCAAATGAAGAAAGCAGAGGAATGCTTTTTGTCTGTATCCAAAGACCGAAGAGCTGCTAGGATCTTAAAATTATTATCATTAAGTGGATGGGATCTCTCAAGGCCACAACCATTCCACATTTTCTTTAAGATGCCGCCAACAAGTTTGATGGACTGCCTATCTAATCTGCAGGTCTGGCCAATATCTGGGATAATAGAATGAGAGTATAGCATAGGTTGAGTTGCAAAGGGCTGGATGAGGTGACCTTTGTGGTCACTTCAAGTTCTTCAATTCTAAGAGCAAGAATTGTCCTCTCTCAACTCTTGGCAAAAAAGATACAGTTCTACTGAAGGGAAAGCTACCGCCAGTTATGCTCAACCTGTGACGGCTTATTTCTGGGCCCTGGATGAACCAGACTCTGACGCCTGGCATCTAGCGCCACCCTCTTTCTCAAGAATTGGGCTGGCCTGAAGGCCAGAACCTCTACAGAGGCAAACCTACAGACCATCTGCTTGGCAATGCCAATGGTTCTGAGTCTCCTCCAAGTCAAAGAGACTAATTGATAAACCTCTACAGGAACTATCAAAACTGCCTTTCGGCACAGCGATTGTCAGAGAAGGTTAAGGGAAAGCCCGAGCAAGGGGAGACTCTGCCCGGCCCGGGACCCCGCTTACCTCGTTGGGATGCTTGCGATGGAACTCCTTGATCTGCTTCAGCCGGTTGTAGAACTCGGCGAACTCGTTGGGCCCAGAAATCGCGCCGAGCTCCTCCTTTCGCAATCTGGGGAGAGGGAGTCCAGCACGGAGGTCAGCGTGTCTTGCGGCCGCCCTGCAGACCTCCCCACCCCGCGCTCATGTCCCCGGCACTTACCCGTCCTTGTCATCGTAGAGGTCGCGCAGGTTGCCGCTGACTTCCATGTATCGCTGCAAAAGAAGCCCGTCTCGTCAGCCACCCCCGAGGTCAGACGACCCCCCCCCACCCCGCCCACCCGCCACTCACGTCCTGCATGGCCCGCGTGCGGTGGTCCGAGTTGATCTGATCCCGCAGCTGCTCGGGAGAGAGAAGAGTTAGGCCCGGGTTAGGCCCGGCTCCCGACGCCTCCCGACGCCCCCCCTCCCCCGGGCCCCACCGTGGACTTGCGAGTCAGCATCTCCTTGACCATCACGTCCATCAGCCGCTCGCGCTCCTCGTGGTAGCGGCGCTGCTGCTCCAGGATGGTCTCCATGGTGGTGATGGCAGCCTCGGACCCGGAAGCCGTCTCCCGCGCGCCCCGGTCCCCCCCCTCGCCCGCGCAGNCCCCACTAATGGCCCTGTTGATGTTGAGGGGGTCGCAAGGTTTCTGTGCTGAATCTGGTGCCACTTCCAACCCCCTGAAGTCATGCAGGGAAATGCTGAAGGCCGTTCCATTACTAAACAGAATTGCTTCTTTTTTGTTCTTCTGGTCAATGTAAGAAAAATAATGGCAGACCCTTTTGGAGGAAATTGATTGTTACATGAATCACAGATGAATCTTTGATCAATGTTTTTAAAAAGGAAAACGGCAGAATCTGTAGGAGAATAGCCTTTCAACAATAGGAAGAAACTGATCAGATGTAATAGAGCTTTGAAACAAAACATGCACAACTTGGAAATAATTGGATAATTTGCCCATTCCCATGAATGAACTGTCTCAAGTCTGGAGTCACAATTGTATATGAAGACTGGCAAAACTATAAGTCACATATACAAAGTAAAGATGAGGATGTGCTTTCTGCTTTTAAAAAACACTATTTGTTTTAGACAAGAAGGGGGGACAGCAGCGAGTGAAAGAAAATAAGAAAGACCGAGTTTTTTAACTAAGCCCCTCACTAGAGGAGTTAGACTAATTTTAATTTTTTTAAAAAAATCCTTTGAAATGATATAGTGCATTTATAACACAATATTAACAAGGATGATTTAAAATGAAATTGGCTATGCACAGTATACATGTGAGTGTATGAAAATGAAAAAATGGAAAATAAAAATATTAAAATAAAAATAAATACATAAAAATAAAATGAAATTGGAAGAGTTACATAAAGTGATTTCCTACTGCAGCTCAACAGTTATTTATCTCAGTGGCCAGAGTCAACCCCCGAGTCTTCAATCTCCAATCTGCAGAACAAGGGGTAAGAAGAATGCCCTCTACCCCAACTTACTTCTGTATCTGGCTGCCACCTCTCTGAAGCCTTCTGTTGCTTCAGCTTGGCCCACACTGGAAAACAGAGGAAAGCCAAGTCCTGCTTTGATGCTGAGGGGGAGCTTTCAGAAGCTCCTATGAGATAATAACCCCACCCCCCAAGGCTTTTCCCTGATGCAAGCCCAACCATCTTGACTGCCCCCCCCCCACTCAACACCCCCTGCCAAGGCCAGGCTTTGCACTCACTTACACGACACGGCATCTTCGATCTGTGTAACATTTGCGAAGGGAGTTGTGTTGGGAATGCCCAAGCATCGCATCCCATGAGCGTGGCGCCATTCCTGTAGAGCACAAGGGATCATAAAAGCAAGGACTAGGCCTCCTAAAACAAGGACTGCTCTTGAGAAGGCAAGAATGGACTGGGGAAGTTAGGAATCCTGAAGTTTAAAGGAGACCATAGAGTTCACCCCCCCCCCCGGTTTCATCCAAATTAAAGGGTACCAGATGTGTGCACGCATTCTTTGCCTCTTCCTGAAAGAATGCTGTGACATTGGGGTCTCGAGAGAGGCAGGACACAAAAGCAGCTCTCTCCCAGCCCCAGAGCAGTGCTGAGATTACTAGAAATAGCAATAGCACTTAGGCTTATATACTGCTCACGGTACTTTACAGCCATCCCTGACCGGTTTACAGCCAGCATATCCCGCCCCAACAATCTGGGTCCTCATTTTACCTACATCGGAAGGATGGAAGGTTGAGTCAACCTTGAGCCTAGTGAGATTCAAACTGCCAAATTGCCAGCAGCAGAATTAGCCTGCAGTACTGCATTGCACCACTACGCCTTGAAGTCGGAGAAAACTACCAAGATGCCAGACCAGCAAGGAACCTGCTCTGGAATCAGCCTGAAAAGCCCACCCACACCCACCCCAGCCTCAGGAATCCTTTCCCCCCGCTGGCACTTCTTACTGCAAAATGTCGCTGGAAAGCTTTGGGTCCACGGTATGTATAATTCCCACAGATCTCACAGTTGTAGTTGATGTTCAACCCGTGGAGCTTGTAGAGCCAGTAGGGAATTGGCTGGAAGGGAAAGACCCACAGAGGTCACCAGAAGCCATGTTCAAGGCCAGTCCCAGATGAGACGGAGGCCCCTCTGTCCTGCCAGAAGCCTTACCTTACCATCCCAGCCCAGTGGCAGGTTCTTGGGGTTGTAGATGATTTCATTATCTTCATCCTCACTTTCGCTCTCACTGATCTGCTCTTCCTCTTCCTCCTCACGCTCTTCCCCAGTCCGCGCCTGCTTGCGCTGCACATTTTCATGCGTCAGCTGCCGTTGCTCCTGAGGGACAATGAAACCTGTGAATACAGCAGCCCCTACCTGGAACCTGCATGCTCAGGGGAGGGGG